CCTATACACTGATGCTGAAAAATCTGCAAGAGAAATTAAGGAAACACTCCCATTTACCATTACAACAAAAAGAATAAAATACCTAGGAATAAACCTATCTAGGGAGACAAAAGAACTGTATGCAGAAAAGTATAAGACACTGATGAAAGAAATTAAAGATGATGTGAAGAGATAGATATACCATGTTCTTGGATTGGAAGAATCAATATTGTGAAAATGACTATATTACCCAAAGCAATCTACAGATTCAATGCAACCCCTATCAAATTACCAATGGCACTTTTTACAGAACTATAACAAAAATATCTTAAAATTTGTATGGAGACACAAAAGACCCCGAATAGCCAAAGCAGTCTTGAGGGAAAAAACGGAGGTGGAGGAATCAGACTCCCTGACTTCAGACTATACTACAAAGCTACAGTAATCAAGACAATATGGTACTGGCACAAAAACAGAAACATAGATCAATGGAACAAGATAGAAAGCCCAGAGATAAACCCACGTACTCATGGTCATCTAGTCTATGACAAAGGAGGTAAGAATATACAATGGAGAAAAGACAGTCTCTTCAATAAGTGGTGCTGGGAAAACTGGACAGCTACATTTAAAAGAATGAAATTAGAACAATTCCTAACACCATACACAAAAATAAACTCAAAATGGATTAGACATCTAAATGTAAGACCAGACACTATAAAACTCTTAGAGGAAAACATAGGAAGAACACTGTTTGACATAAAGCACAGCAAGATCTTTTTTGATCCACCTCCTAGAGTAATGGACATAAAACCAAAAATAAACAAATGGGACCTAATGAAACCTAAAAGCTTTTGCACAGCAAAGGAGACCATAAACAAGACGAAAAGACAACCCTCAGAATGGGAGAAAATATTTGCAAACGAATCAACGGATTAATTAAATTAATTACATCAAGGATTAATCTCCAAAATATATAACCAGCTCATGGAGCTCAATATTAAAAGAACAAACAACCCACTCCAAAAGTGGGCAGAAGACCTAAATAGATATTTCTCCAAAGACATACAGACGGCCAAGAAGCACATGAAAAGCTGCTCAACATCACTAATTATTAGAGAAATGCAAATCAAAACTACAATGAGGTATCACCTTACACCAGTTAGAATGGGCTTCATCAGAAAATCTGCAAACAACAAATGCTGGAGAGGGTGTGGAGAAAAGGGAACCCTCTTGCACTGTTGGTGGGAATGTAAACTGATACAGTCACTATGGAGAACAGTATGGAGGTTCCTTAAAAAACTAAAAATAGAATTACCATATGATCCAGCAATCCCACTACTGGGCATATACCCAGAGAAAACCACAATTCAAAAAGACACATGCACCCCAATGTTCATTGCAGCAGTATTTACAATAGCCAGTCATGGAAGCAACCTAAATGCCCATCGACAGATGAATGGATAAAGAAGATGTGGTACATGTATACAATGGAATATTACTCAGCCATAAAAAGGAACGAAATTGGGTCTTTTGTTGAGACATGGATGGATGTAGAGACTGTCATACAGAGTGAAGTAAGTCAGAAAGAGAAAAACAAATATCATATATTAACGCATATATGTGGAACCTAGAAAAATGGCACAGATGAACCGGTTTGCAGGGCAGAGATTGAGACACAGATGTAGAGGACAAATGTATGGATACCAAGGGGGATAGCTGCGGGGGGGGTGGTGGTGGTGGTGTGATGAATTCGGCAGTTGGGATTGACATGTGTATAAAATTGATGACTAATAATAACCTGCTGTATAAAAAAAGAAAAAAAATAATAATGCACACACATGTACAGTACAGCACAAAAGAGTAAATAGCAGACAAAGATTCCAAGTCTTTATCTATCTAGAGGTAGAATACGCAGATATGGGCGCGCTAATAACATTTTTTCAGCTGAGACAAGTAGGAAATTGTTCTGTTTTTTCCTGTAAGTCTTCCACTGTCCTCTATTCCCTTTCTTCTCACTGATCCCCTACCCTCGATTCCCTCCTAGATCGTTGTCTCCCTTATTGACTTCTAAGTCTGATTTCCATGAATTTTCCATCTCTTTATTAAAACAGCTTCACCATTATTAGTAATACTGAATCCTGTTTATTTAAAATCTTCAACCTCATAATTTATTCACAGGTCTTCCTTGATCCCAAGGGCAGGCAAGATTCTCGGTTTTAGGGTTGACACATTACAGCTTGATGCTTAGACCAGGGACTCTGGAACCAGATTCCATGAATTTGCACCCTGGCTCTGCCACTTGTAAATTATGTGCCAACGGGCAGGTCACCTCTTGCCTCAGTTTCCTCATTTGTCAAGCAGGGATAGTAGTAGCACTTACTCTGTAGGACTTTTGTGAGGATTAAATGAGTTTTTCATGTAAAGCACTCAGAGCATGGCTTACACGTTATAAATGCTACTTAAGTGTTAGCTATTTTTACTATTATTGGAGTGGGTAATGGGGTTTCCTTCTCTCAGAGCTCCCCTTGTCTCCCCTGTCTTTATTTCTCTGAGGTTGTGGCTGTGACCTGGGAAAATATTTTTCTTTTCTCATCTGCCATGACATGACTTGTTGTCCTCTTCCGAGTGGTGATTACTTCTGACCCATTTTGGTGGGAAGGATTTCCACAGTGAGGAAGGAGGAAGGATAATAGGCTGTTGTGGCAGAGCAATCAGGAGATGAGGGTGGATGGGGAAATAGTGGGATGGGTCAAAACTTCCTTCCTTTTGAATTAGTGTTGAAGGTCATTGCAGGGGCACAGAAGGGTGAGCACGATGGATGACTCTGCCGGGAAGAAAAAGCTAAAAACAGTTTTCAATCAAACTGCCCTTTTCCCCGTTCCACCTACTCACCTATGTTAAAATATATTTTAAACATTAATTATGACAGGCTTGTAATGGAGACAGTGAACAAATTTGTTTGTTTTTTCCCCCCAAGAGATTTCAGTTACATTACTTCCTCATAGAATATCACTTACCATGCGATGCCATTTGACACTGGACTGCAGAATCTGGAGATTACTTGCTAGTCAGGGAGAAGAGGGAGAGTAGTTAAAAGGAAATGAACTTTTACCACCTGTTGGAACATATCCCCAAATCTGAAGTTTTATATGACCTTAATGGCAAAGCCCAATGAAGACAGTATGTGCGTGCGCATGCGTGCGCGCACGCATGCGCACACACACACAACTTCAGACAAATTCATTACAAATATTACTAAACAACACTTAACTAAAAGATTAACAAACAGAATACACAGCCACATTAAAAGAATAATGAACCCTAACCAAGAGGTATTTATTCCAAACTTACAAGGATGGTTAGATAAAGGAGGACCCATAATATAATTCTCAATATTAATTGCTAAAAATGTTACATGATCATTTATATTGAGGCAGAAAATTCTGATAAAATTTTAAATCTATTCTTGATAGCAATTCTTAATAAAACAGGTATGTAGTCATTTTCTTAATGTGACATATAAACACAAAAGCCAGAGCCAGATGTAATAAGGATATAATTAGGAGCATTCTCATTAAAGTAGAGAACAAGACAATGATGACCATTATACCACTATCGTTTGCCATTTCTGGACATTCCAGCTAGTATTGTTAGAAAATAGAAATAAATAAGTGTATTAAAATTGGAAAGAAAAAAACTATATTATTTTTAAATTATTTACTTCATGGGAAAGAATATGAGTGCCTTTTAAATTTGTCTATGATATGAGAATGATTTAACTAGAATTGGAGTTATCAATGACTGAAATGTTTGGTAAAATTTCCTTAGAAAACCTTTAGAACCTGATATGTCTTTCTTTGACGGTGTAGCCCTTTGATAATTATTTTTATTTCTTTCATTTTAATTGTTCTGTTTCAATTTTCTAGGTCTTCTGTAATTCTTTTTTTTTTAAATAATGTCTTTATTTTGGGATAATTTTAGATTTACAGAAAAGTTGCAAAGATAGTTTAGAGTTCTCATATACCCCTCACCTTGTTTCCATAGTGTTATCATCTTACATAACCATGGACCATTTGTCAAAACTGAAAAAGTTATATTGGTACAATTTTAACAACTAAACTGTAGGCTCTATTTTTCCACTAATGTCCTTTTCCTGTTCCAGGATCCAAACCAGGACCCCACATTGCATTTAGTCATCATTTCTCCTTTGTTTCCTGTGTTCTGTAATTATTTTGTAATCTTTCCTTGTTTGTGAATTTGACTATTTTGAAAAGGGTACCTGGTTAGATATTTTGGCATGCCCCTCAGGTTGCATTTATCTGATGTTTTTCTCAAGATTTGATTGGAAATATAAGTTTTGGGAAAAATATCACAGAAGTGAAGTGTCCTTCTCATCATGAGAAAGTATCAGATTTTGAATTTATTCAATAGTTCTACTGTTTTTCTCTTATCAGATTCAGGGATGCAGCTTCATCTTTGTGTACTCCTTCTTTCCTTCTGCCTTCCTTGGATTTATTTTGAGGTTCTTTTTCTAAATTCTTGTTGTGGATACTTGATTCAGTTATTTCTGTCCTTTCTGGTTTATAATTCTAAGTGTTCAAAGCTATGGATTTTTCTCTGTGTACTCTTTCAGCTATATGCTGTAGGTTCCAATATGTAGTGCTATCAACATTCTGTAATTTGTGTATTAATTTTCTCTTTAACCTAAGAATTAATAGAATACCTTATATGACACATGGTAAGGATTTTTGTTCATTTCATAAGTTTACTATTGACTGCTAATTTTTTTTTTTTGCATTGTGATTAGAGACTATTTCTGCTATTTCTACATTTTGGAATTTATACAGAAATTTCTAGCCTAACATATGGTTATCTTTTGTGAGTACACCTTTCTGTGGGCATTAGAAAAAAAGATATGTTCTTTGTATTCAGGGCTAGAGATTGATATATGGGTTTCTCTCACTCTCCCACGCACAAATACACACAGTTACCTTTGTCTGAAGTACATCCTAAATTCATACTTGCTTTAATACTCCTTGACGACTTGCTGACAAAGGTGAATTAAAGACTGCTACTACTAATGCTGCAAAAGAGTATTTTGTATTAGTACATAAACCAGTAACTTTCCTATAGCTTTTTTTTTGCTTTATGAATTTTGATGCTACTATATTATATGGTAAGTAGATCATATTAATTTTTGATCGCTGTGTAACAAGTTACCACAAATGTAATGGCTTAAAAAAAAAACACCCATTTATTATTATTTGACAGTTTCTGTGGGTCAAGAAGGTCAGGCTCTCCTTAGGGTCTCACATGGCTGAAATGAAGGTGTCAGTATGAACTGCCATCTCACTTGAGGCTCAGGATCTTCTTCCAAGGTCATTTAAGTTGGTGGCAGAATTCAATTCCTTGAGACTGAAAGACTGAGGATCCTGCTCTTTTGCTGGCTGAGTCTGAGGGCATCTGTCAGCTTGTAGAAACTGTCTGAGTTCCTTGCTCTGTGGCCCCTTCACAAGGCCTTCTCACACTACCAATATGACTTCTGTCTCCAACGTCTAGACCCTGACTCAAAGGGATCACGTGATTACATCAGGCCCATTCATAATATTCCTTTTGATTAACTCGCAGCCAACTCTCTAGTAACCAAATTACATCTATAAAATCCCTTTTGCTGTATTGTGTAACATAATCATATCCCATCATATCAGAGCTCCAGCCTTTATCCTTCCTTAACTTTTCAGCTTCAAGAGGAGGGATTTATACAAGGCATGTATACCAAGAGACAGGAATATTGGAGGACATCTTAAAATTCTTCTTACCACATGAATTTTTATAATTATTTTATCTTTATTATGATTTATAGACTTTCTCATTATGTGATGCTTTTAAAAAATCACATTTAATTCTTTAAGTCTTAATTCAAGCCTAAAAGTCAAAGTTGTCTGAATTAAGATCCTGACTCCTAATTTGTTGTTATTGTTGTTGTTTACATTTTCTTGGTGTACATTTTCCCATCTTTTTATTCACAACCTTTTTTTTTTAACATCTTTATTGGAGTCTAATTGCTTTACAATGGAGTATTTTGTTTTATAAATGTCTCTAGTAGGTAGCATATTGCTGGGTTTTATTTGTAATTTAACCAGACTCCTTTCTCATTATAGATGAGTTCAATCCATTTTGATTTATTTATGGAACATATTTTGGTCTTAATTTTGTTCTATATTTTATGCTTTTTCTGTAGCTGTGGCTACTTTTAAGTCCTTTATTACTTGGTATTTTTTCCTTGACTTTCTTTGTGTGTGAAGTGGTGTGTTTTGTGTGTTTCTTTTATATGAAAGGTTTATATTCCTGTTGTGATTATGATTAAGATGACTCTAACTTTTTGTAATATATTTATTCCTCAAAACTGTAGACCAAACTTTAGACCAAATCTGATTCCCAGTTGTGAGCAAAGATGAAATTTGTTCATCTCTGTTTCCTCCCCTTCCTTAACCCCTATAGATTTTAGTTGATTAAATTACTTAGTGAAACCTTTATGCCTTTTTGTTTATATTACTTGATGACTTATTAATCCCCAAGTTTTAATAATAAAGAATCAATGTCCTTACATTACCTTCCTCCTTATTTCCTAATTTTCCTAGTTTTTTATTTACTAATTATTTCCTAATTTTCCTAATTTTTATTAGTTATATAATTTTCATACTTACAAAGTTTATATTTATATTCAGTTTTGTAACAATAATCCCCACTTTCTTTTAAATAGATTCAGTGCACACTGCATTGGCTTCTCTAGTCATCTCCTGTTGAGCTGAAGTTCATTTTCTATTAATCTCTTGAAGGGAAACACATTCCTTGAGTTCTTTCATGTTACAAAACATTTCTCACACTCACTCTGAGTTAAAGTTAGCCTGAGTATAACATTCTTGGGCCACAATGTTTTCCTCAAGGATTTTATGTGTTCTGTTCCACTGTCATCCAGTATTGCTGTGGAAAATGCTATGGTGAGCTGGATTTTTTCTTCTCCTAGAAAGGTTAATTGAATACTTTTCCTTTTCCTGGATTTCCAAAGCATTCTTTATCTTCGGAAATCAGCAACTTTACTAGGATACTGGTCCTTTGATTGTATAGAGTTAATTTTTCTAGGGACATAGTCTGCTTTTCGACCTATATCTTCATGAAAATTTATATTAAAAATTTTATTTAAATATTTTCTTCTTTTATTTTGGTTCTCTTCTTTGGTGACACCAATTATGCTTATATTGGTCTCTCTTTTTTTTTTTTTTTTTTTTTTTGCGGTACGCAGGCCTCGCACTATTGTGGCCTCTCCTGTTGCAGAGCACAGGCTCCAGACATGCAGGCTCAGCAGCCATGGCTCATGGACCTAGCCGCTCTGCGGCATGTGGGATCTTCCTGGGCCGGGGCACGAACCCGTGTCCCCTGCATCGGCAGGCAGACTCAACCACTGCGCCACCAGGGAAACCCTGGTCTCTTTTTTAATGTCTTTCTAGCTTATCTCAGTCTTGTCCTTCATGCTCCTTACCATATTTTCAGCAATGCTTATTTTCTTTGCACCGTTTCCAACATGACCTTTGTTTTTGTGAGAATATCCTTTCCCCTCCACTTCTGTCCTAAACGGCACTGTTTTTCCCTAAATTCTTATATCTCTGTTTCAAGATTACGTTTTACAGATAAAATTGCCTCATTAAATTATAAAGTCTTTTTTATCTGCTCTGTGATATTTTCCTAGAATTATTTAACTGTCATTATTTTTATATTACATTTCTGCCTTTTTCTTGTAAAATCTTTCTTTTTTTTTTACATCCTCTATTGATTCCATTTTGATGATTACTCAGTATTGAATGTGATGAGCTACTCTCAGATCAAATGTTTGCTGGACTTTCAGATAGAGAAATTCTCCTCTTGACCCAGAACTGTGTGTGTAAATTTGCTCTTTCAGATTTATTCTACCCTTGCTATTTAATCTTGGCAGCTTCAGAATTTACCTCCTCTATCATGACTTACCTGCAACAGTAGATTCTTGGTTGAAAACCAGAACGAAAGAAAGGTGTTCAGTTGCATATTCCATTTCCGTTTTTCTGTCTAAGGTGCTCACCTTGCTTTTCCTCATGCCTCCATCCCCACCAAAAAGCATCATTCATCTTCCCAGGGAGTACCTCTGGATCCAAATATCTGAACAAAAGCTTCATTCCAGAGATGTCATAGTTACTCACAATTTAGCTATTTCACCACTGGAGTGTTTTCATTGTTATTTTCAAAGATTCCGTATTTACTAAATGTTTATTTAGCTTTAGCAAATGTTTCCCCTTTAAAATTCTCACAGGATTGAATACATATGTGAAGAAATTTTAGAACAGATGTAGAATTTCCCCAAGTTTTGCTGGTCTGTGTTTTTATGTGTGCATGGTTTATTTTAATAAAAAATTGATGTGTAAACTATTTAGTCTCATGAGCTTTTCACCACCTGATGAATTTTTCTATTTCCTGACTCCTTGAAATCCAGCTTCATTGAGAAAAATAAAATGTTTTCTGGAGGGGGGTTCAATTTTTGAGCTTGAGTGCTTGAGGTGAGACCAAAATTTGATGGTGTAGACTGCCATAGGTTAAGATAAGTGCTCCAGATGCCTTCGAGGCAGGAGAGATGTGGTCAGATGGTGGAAAAGAAGGTAGACATGGAGTTAGGAGATTCATTAACAAAGATGAACTCTTTTGATTGGCAAATTTGGAAAGAACTTTAGAGGAGGGCCATAGTGAAGTAAATTCTAATATACCCATAGTTCTTTCTTTTAACAGAACAAAAACTAAGAAAAGTAGTCAAAGTTAGAAAGAAGATAGACTTTTGACTGACTGAAGGATTAATAGAATAAAAATCACTTACTCGTGTGTGACTTCTCTGCAATTTATAGGAGGCAAGGTAGTGAAGATAAACTCAAGTGTCTTACCTCTTAGCCAAAGGTAAAACATTCTAACAACGAAAGGAATCCTTTGAGATGTTGTCATTCGTCATGACAACCATATACTTCAAAGATTCCATTCTGGAATGGATGTACTTGCCTAGAAAGTACTGATATGCTCAAGTGGCTGGTAATGCTCACTGTCACCCCTGAGGAGGGAAGCTTCTGGTTCTTGTGTTATCTGCACTGAAAGGTAGCTCTGCAAACCAACAAGCTTGCTAGAAGTTGGGTGAAGGATATGAATAGAAAACTCACAGAAGAGGAAAACTGAATGGTCAATAAATATTACAAGATGCTTAATCGTCCTCAAAGTCACGAAAATGCAAACCAATAAAATACCATTTCACAACAAATAAGTAAAAAAATAACTACAGATAAGTAAAAATTTTTAAATTGATTATCTAAATATTGGCAAAGATAAAAGAAACTGGAACTTTCTCACACCACTGGAGGAAGTACAAATGATATAGCTACTTTGTAGAGCAATTTGTCACATTTTAGTAAAATTGAAAAATTGTGACCCAGAATTTCCACCTGTAGGTCCATAGACATAGAAACATTTATAGAATTTGTGTACTGGGAGGCACGGGGAAGTGTGTTCATTGCAGCATTTTTTGGTAACAAATTTAAGATATAACTTGTATTCCATATAATTCACCCTTTTAAAGTGTACAACTCTGTAGTTTTAAATATAGTTACAGACGGGTACAACCATCAACACTATCTATGCACCTATATTTATAAGAGATATTGGTCTGTAGTTTTCTTGAGATGTCTTTGTCTGGTTTTGGTATCGGGGGTAATGCTGGCCTCGTAAATAAGTTGGATAATGTTCAATCCTCTTCTATTTTTTAGAAGAGTTTATAAAGATAGTTGTCAATTTTTTGTTAAATACTTGGTAGAATTTACCACTAATGTCATTTGGTTCTGACATTTTCTTTGTAGGAAGGTTTTTGATTACTAATTTAATCTCTTATTATAGTTCTATTCAATTTTTTCTACTTCTTGAGCAAGTTTTGATAGTTTGTGTCTCTCTAGAAATCTCTCCACTTCATATGTTATGTAATTTGTTGGCATACAATTATTCAGAGCATTCCCTTACAATCTTTTCAATTTCTGTAAGGTTTTTCTTAATTTTTGAAGCATTGTTTTGCCAGATATAGAAATCTTGGTTGACAATTTTTTCCTCCCAGCCCTTTGCATATGTCACCCTGCTACATTCTGCCATCCATGTTTCTGATGACAAACCAGCTGTTAATCTTATGACAATATCTTATACATGATGAGCTGCTTTTCACTTGTTGCTTTTAAGATTTTCTCTTTGTTTTTGGCTTTACACGTGCTACTTGACATTCTTTGAGCTTTGTGTGTGCAGGTTAATGGGATTCTTGGGTTAAATTTGGGAAGTTTTTGGCCATTATTTCTACAAATATTATTTCTGCTCCTTTCTCTCCTCTCCATCTATTACTCATATTAGGCATATTTTGATATACTTGATGATGTACTACAAGTCACTGAGTCTTGTTTATTTTTCCTCTTTCTTTTAAATTTCTGCTCTTTCGACTGGATAACATCGATTGACCTATTGGCAAGTTTGGTGATTTTGCCATCTGCTATTCAAATCTGCTGTTGAGCCCCTCTAAGTAGATTTTTCATTTCAGTTATACTTTTCACTCCAGAATTTCTATTTGGCTGTGTTGTATAATTTCTGTTTCCTTTTTGATATTCTCTGTTTGGTAAGAGACATTGTTTTTATACTTTGTTTAAAAACATGGTTTACTTTAGTTCTTTCACTGCATTTATAACAGTTTGTTAAAAGTCGTTGTTTAGTAGGTACAACATCTGGTTTCCTTAGTGACAGTTTCTATTGTTTCTTATTCCTGTATATGGGCCATAATTTCCTTTTTCTTTGCATGTGTCATAATTTTTATTAAAATCTGGATATTTAAAAAAATTTAATATAGCAGCTCTAGAAATCATATTGCTCTCCCCTCAGAGTTTGTTGTTATGCTCATTATTGTTATTGATGGTGGTTTTATTTTGTGAATGTAGTGACTTTCCTGGACTAATACTGTAAAGCCTGTAGTTTTTCTTTTTTGTCATATATGGCCACTGAATTCTCTGTTCAGTTAGCTAATGATTGGATAGAGGTTTTTTTAAAGTGTTTTGAACCAGTAAGTCTCCCAACCTTTGCCAAGGAGCTCCATGTGTTTGTACGTGTGTGTGTGTATATTGTTGTTGTTATTGAATGCTTTCCATACTTCCAGCAGTTTACAACACTGCCTTAGTCTTTGCTTCCTGATTGCAGAGCCTTAATGTTGCCCAGAAGGAAGAGATTAGAACCTTCTTATATCTTTCCTTGGTGTGTACAGAGCTCTGAACATGATTTCCAGAAATAGATCAGAGCTTTCAAAGCGTCCTATGGGCACCTTATGTCTCTATTTTTCCTTTTTTGGTCAGGCTCTTATTTGCTCCAACTGTTGTTGCCACCTCTGGGAGCTACAGTGTTAGACAACTGCCACTGATTGGTTTTGGCAAATGCTCTGAGAATAGGACTGTTTGCACTGAAGGACCTCTGAGTCAGGTAAAATAATGACAGGCCCTATGAATGGTACTTTTTCAAGGAGATAACAAAAAGGTCAAATAATGATGGTTCCCTGGAGGATTTGTGGGATCTATGAACATATTCTGCCCTCTCTAGCAGTGGCTAGGCTACTGATTTTCACAGCTACTGTGGTTTTGGGGTTTTGGGTTTTCACCCATTTTTAAAAATAAACACTTCTTAGATGATTGCAAGCATTCAGTTAATTCTCCAAGTTCTAAAAATGTTGATTTTGCCAGTGTTCTCATTGCTTTTATGGAGGAATAGATTTTGAGAGGTTCTTACTCCACCATTATAAAAGTACTTGCACAACCTTATTTTTAGTAGGAAAAAAATTGGAAACAATATGTTATAGTAAGAGAATGGACAGTAAATTGTGATCTCTTTATACAATGGAACTCAGCAGTTAAAATAATGGACTAAGATTATATATCTATAGATGGCTAGCTATAAAAACAAGTTGTAGAATGATACCTACAGAGCAATAATATTTACATAATTACAACATATAAAACACACCAACTAATATTTTTGATATGTGCATATATTGAAAGCAAATTATTTTTATAAAACATGAGCTGAGAGGATAAACATCTTATGCATGATAGTGATGGGAATTTGGAATGAAATAAGAAAATAAGTAACTTTTCCCATAATATTTTTATTTATTTTATTAAAGAAAATATGGACACATGAGTGTATACTATATTATTTTTGTGTTTTTATCTATTTAAAACTTAGGAAGAAAGAAGAAAGTCATAATGGGTTGGATTCTTCTGTTCCCTGGGGACTCACTTGACTCTGCTCAATTTTTTATAATCTATGGGTGGATAGAAAACAAAAGACAAGAGTAGGATAAATAACTGCTGAATCACAATTGGGTCTGTTATAAAATGATTTTGAAATGGCTTTCAAATATGGACTGTCATATTCTGCTCTTTATTTTGCTTTTAAAAAAATTACAAGTTCAAACCAGACAGAAAAATGTGAGTCATTGGCTTCTTCCTCCCTAAAAATCTCCATACTATGTCTCTGCTCCAGTCAGGGAAGTGAAACAATTGACATTATCTGTCTTCTTTCCTCCACACTCTTGGTCAGTAGCACCTCCATAGATTCCAGCAGAGAGAAAGAGAGTTGCTCTACAATTTATAACAACTTGAAAGAACATAGCACCTCTCTTCCAGAAATTTCTGACATCCCATTGATGATATGGGAGCACAAATATCAATTCTGTTTTACAGACAGGAATGGGAGAATCTGATCTACTATGATACAAAGTAATTTTTCTCACAGACTATTTGACAAGGGTAAAAATGAGAAACAAACCTAAGCCTAGCCCCTCTTGGCCTGTTACGCAGCCAGAGAAAGCATCAAAGCAAGTGTTCTCATTACCACATGGAACCGCTAGGTGTCACTAAATATAAAACTTGTATTCATTAGCGATTACAACTAGGAAAGCAGAAAAGGCAAGTGAAATTCGTCATGTTAATGGAGAAAACTGAAAATTCCACCTTCAGTTGACACAATGGAAGGTGGCTTCTCTCTAACCCAATA